GGCTGGCGCCTTAGCCGGTTGAGCTATAGGCGCCGAGCCGATTTTAAATTTTCTAACAGACTTTTCTATGTGTATTTAGATTTAGCCTGCTTTTATAATCTCCCTTGAAACAACTCAAGCCCACTTAGGGTATCGTCATGCTTTTCTGAGTTCTTCTAAAACAGAACTTACTTGAAATTTTAGTTCCAGATATTGATTCTTTTTTTTCCCATAAAATATCTGCATTTGTTTAGCTATAACCAGGTTTTTCAGATATACATATACATACATATATGTACATGACCTCAAAAATGTTGTACATATGTACATATATGTGTTTTGGGTTTTTTTTTTTTTTTTTGAGACAGAATCTTGCTCTTTTGTTCAGGCTAGAGTGCAGTTGGCATTGTCTTGGCTTACTGCAACATCAAACTCTTGGGCTCAAGAAATCCTACTACCTCAGCCTCCCAAGTAGCTAGGACTACAGGTGCCGGCCAATATTGTATTTTTTTGTATTCACAGCTTCCTTTCTCTACAGTGTGCGATACTGGGGGCTGTGCAAATGATAATCCCCATTCTTGGCAGGGCAAGGTGGCTCACACCTGTTAACCCAGCACGTTGGGAGGCTGAGATGGAAAGATTGCTTGAGCCTAGAAATTTGAGGCTCCAATAAGCTGTGATCCATGCTACTGCACTCTAGCCTGGGTGACATAGTAAAAACTTGTCTCTTACAAAAAAGAGACAGAGAATCCCTATTCATACATCAGGGACCAATTCCTGGTATTTTAAAAGTGCTGCCAGATTAGTTTGTTTTGTTGATGTGAGACTCTATGCCCTCTTTAGCAGTTAAGTGTAATCAGACCACTGCTCCTCCTCATTCCTTTTGAAGTAGATTTTCTGCCCCCACCCCCACCCCCACCCCCATCTAGGGGACTCTTAGCAACCATTTCCTCTTGGATTTTATTTTCTCTTTGTCTTAACACTTGACAGCCTAGGAGGACTTCAGACCCCTCTCCATTTGTCTTTGTATGCACAGCTTGCCTGAGGAGGAAACAGGAGCTCGGTCTAGGCTCCTCCTTGGTAAACCAGAAAGGGATTCAGCTGCCCTTCCTCTTTCTCAGGTGAGCCTGTTTTGTGGTTTTGTGGATGTGTGAATAACACTGCTTCCCTTAAGCTCTGGTTCTGTGTCACTATTCATTGTGAACAGCTGCTTACAGCCTACAAGGCTGGAGGGATTGTGCACAGGGGGCCAGAGGGCAAGGACCAAGTTCTTTCAAGGCTACTAGAAAGGAACCAGTTTAGAGTTTTTTTTCTGGGACCTCATTCCTCCCTTATCTTTACTGCTGCTTTGTTTCTGTATCTGGTTTACAGAACCCAATTAGGAGGTTTGTCCCCCAGTTTCCAAACCCGAGGAAGACAGTGGCAAGAAAAGCAGAGACCAGGGAAGAGGACCTCAGGAGTGGGGCCTTCAGCCTGGTAAGCCCTAAAATCTGATAGGAACTCGATGCACATGAGCCTCTTGGCTTAGCCTCTGCTGCCGTGTTTAACCTTGGTTTTCTTTGGCAGTGACTATGCCTGCACCTCTCTCTGCTCCCCACTTTCAGTACCTTGCAGCCACAAATGTTTACTAAGTGTGCATCAGACTTGGTACAGGCCTTGAGGACAACTGTGCCTGCATTGCCAGAGTTGAAGCCAGAGCCCAAGCCAGAGCCCTCTTCCCCAAGTTGCATGGAAATAGTAAATCTCAGAAAGTCATTATGTGCCGCCAGAGCCCTCTTCCCCAAGTTGAATGGAAATAGTAAATCTCAGAAAGTCATTATGTGCCGGGCATGGTGGCTCATGCCTGTAGGTAGTCCTAGTGCTGTGGGAGGCCAAGGCGGGTGGATTGCCTGAGCCCAGAGGTTCAAGACTATCTTGAGCTGGAGTGAGCCAAAGTGAGACCCCATCTCTATCCAAAAAAGCTGGGCATTGTGGCAGAGGCCTGTAGTCCCAGCTACTTAGAAGGCAAAGGGCAAGAGAATCACTAAAGGAAGAAAAGAAAAAGGAAGCCCAGGCTCGGTGCCTATGGCTCAAGTGGCTAAGGCACCAGCCACATATACCTAAGGTGATGGGTTCGAATCCTGTCAGGGCCTGCCAAACAACAATAACGGTTGCAACCAAAAAAATAGCCGGGCTTTGTGGCAGTCACCTCTGGTCCCAGCTACTTGGGAGGCTGAGGCAGGAGACTCGCTTGAGCCCAGGAGTTGGAGGTTGCTGTGAGCTGTGATGCCATGGCACTCTACCCAGGGGGACTCTGGGATGTCTGTGATGCCATGGCACTCTACCCAGGGGAATTCCACTCTATCCCAGCTTGACGTTCTGTATCAAAAAAAAAAAAAAAAAAAAGGAAGCCCACGCTGGCCACAGTGGCTCACACCTGTCATCCTAGTACTCTGGGAGGCTGAGGGGAGTGGATCATTTGAGCTCAGGAGTTCAAGACCAGCCTGAGCAATAGTGAGACCCCATCTCTACCTAAAATAGAAAAACTGAGGCAAGATCTCTTGAGCCTGCTGTAAGCTGTGATGCCACAGCCCTCTAATCAGGGTACCAGAGTGAGACTCTGTCTCCAAAAAAAGGGAAGCTCACATTCTATCCCTAGTCCCCTTTGTTTCTTAGGGGCTTTGGGGTGAGTTGTAGGCATTTACAGTTCTCTTGTCCATCCCATCATGAGTTCTAGGAGCAACAGTGCCTTTGGCAACACACCCCTAAAGAAGTGGTTGGTCGGGGCTGGACAAGGTGGCTCTCAGCTATAATTCTAGTGCTCTGGGAGGCTGAGGCAGGTGAATTACCTGAGCTCACAGCGACCAGCCTGAGCCAAAACGAGACCTCATCTCTAAAATTAGCTGGGTGTGGCTTGGTGCCCATTGCTCAGTGGTTATGGTGCCACATGCACTGGGGCTGGCAGTTTGAACCCGGCCCAGGCCTACTAAACAACAATGATATCTACAACAACAACAACAAAATAACCAGGCATTGTGGCAGGTGCCTGTAGTCCCAGCTACTTGGGAGGCTAAGGCAAGAGAATTGCTTAAGCCCAAGAGTTTGCAGTTGCTGTGAGCTGTGATGCTATGGCACTGTACTGAGGGCAACAAAGTCAGACTTTGTCTCAAAAAAAAAAAAAAAATGAGTGGTGAATGTTCACTGCAGCTATGTTTGCCATCATCCCAAACTGGGAACACCACCAAATTCCCTTCGATGGGTGAAGTGTTCAACAAACTATGGTCTATCTGCCAGGAAACACGAGTCAGCATTCAAGAGGAACAAACTATAGTTAGTGATACACATAATTTGGATGGATCTCTCAGGCGTCATATGAAGTGGGAAAAGCCAGTTCCAAAAGGTTACATACTGTAGGATCCCATTTACATAATGTTTAAATGATAAAATTATAGAGTTGAAAGACAGATTCACCGTTGCCAGGGTTGGGGACTGGGTAGGTGGGCCTTGGGATGGAGGCAGATGCAGCTGGGAAGAGCAGCTGGTATAAAGGATCCTTGTGTTAAGTACATGCTGTTTGACTATGGTGGTGGCTATGCAAATAACATAAACAGGTAACAGAACTTTGTGGAACTTAATACACACCCTCAAATGAGTACAGATCTGACTGGGAAGATCTGAATAAGGCTAGTGAATTTTTTTTTAACAACTTTTTTTTTTTGTAGAGACAGAGTCTCACTTTATCGCCCTTGGCAGAGTGGGTAGAGTGCCGTGGCATCACACAGCTCACCGCAACCTCCAACTCCTGGGCTTAGGCGATTTTCTTGCCTCAGCCTCCCGAGTAGCCCACCACAATGCCAGGCTTTTTTTTTTTTTTTTTTTTGAGACAAAGTCTCAAGCTGTCACCCTGGGTAGAGTGCCATGGTGTCACAGTACACAGCAACCTCAAACTCTTGGGCTTAAGTGAGTCTCTTGCATCAGCCTTCCAAGTAGCTGGGACTACAGGCACCTGCTACAATGCCCGGCTATTTTTTTGTTGCAATTGTCATTGTTGTTTTAGCTGGCCTGGCTAGGTTCAAACCCACCAGCGCCTCCATGTATGTGATTGGTGCCCTACTGACTGAGCTATGGATGCCATCAACGCTGGTGGATCTTATCAATGTCAATGTCCTGGTCATGATACTGTGCTTGAGTTGCTTAAGATGTTACCATTGGAGGAAAGTGGGTAAAAAGGCTTGAAGGATCTTTCTATATTATTTTTTACAAATGGATATGAATCTATAATAATTTCACAATTTAAAAGTTTTATTGAAAACAAAGATAGAGGCTAGGAGTACTGGTTCACATCTATAATCCTAGCACTCTGGGAGGCTAAGGCGAGTGGATTACTTGAGCTCATGAGTTCAAGACCCAGCCTGAGGTAGAGCAAGACCCCATCTCTAAAAAAAGTAGCTAGGCGAGGCTGAAGCAAGAGGATCATTTGAGCCTAAGAGTTTGAGGTTGCTGTGAGCTATGACACCACAGCAATCTACTAAGGATGACAAAGTGAGACTCTGTCTCAAAAAAAGAAAACAAAGATGGGTATTAGTTTCACTGTAGATTGAAGATGTATGTTAAGGGCTGTTTGTAGCTCAGCAAGCTAAGAGGTACATTTCACATCATATGTATTTAACCACAATGTTTTTATTATTTTTTCCCCTAGAGACAAGATCTTTCTCTGTTGTCTAGGCTGGAGTGCAGTGGCACAATCATAGCTAACTATAACCTTGAACTCCTGGGCTCACATAATCCTCACACCTCAGCCTCCAGAGTAGCTGGAACTATAGGTGTACACCACCACACCTGGCTGGTTTTTCTGTTATTTTTTGGTAGAAACAAGAATCTTGCTATGTTGTACAGGCTGGTCTTAAACTGGCCTCAAGTGATGGTCCCACCTCAGCTTCCCCAAATCCTGGGATTATAGACATGAGCCACCATGCCTGGCCAAGTGAGTTTTTTTTTTCCGTTGTTGTAAACCAGACTGGGCAAAATTGTGAGACCCCATCTCTACAAAAAAAAAAATTTAAACTTAGCCAGCACAGCTGAGACAAGAGAATCACTTGAGCCCCAGATTTGAGGTTGCAGTGAATTATGACACCACTGCATTTTAGCCCAGGCAAAAGTGAGACCTTGTGAAACCCTGTCTCAAAATTTAAAAAAGAATATTAAATTTTATGTGTTTTTTCCACAGTTGAAAAAATAAACAGTACAGAATGAGGTTCCCACGGTGGTAGCACCTCCTGTAACTATAGCCCATCATTAAAACCAGGCAATTGACACTGGTACAATCTGCAATGCCACCTTGGATTTTATACACCTGACCCTCCTGAGTGCCCAATGCTGGCATGGAGAAGAACATGGTGGAAAGTAGTTTGGTTTCTGTACTGGTATACTGATGCCTACTTTGGTGCATGATGGTTGGTGCCAACATCTGCATCTTTGAACAGGGGTAATAATGACTAGAAAGTTCTTCTCTAGAGTGCTTGATTATTGAAGGTCCCTGGAACTGACTCATTTTGTCTCTACAGGAAACACTTCCAGAGCCCAGTGCCCAGCAGGCAGGAAGCCAGCACATGGAGGAGTCCCTGGGGATCACTGTCCAGGAGAGCAGAGAGCAAATGCAGGCAGAGGGTACCCTCCCTGAACAAAGCAGCCAGAACCTCATGAACTCCATGCCTGGCAGTGGGGATTCTCAGCCTAAGGCCTCTCTGGAAGGTGGGGCAGGCCCCTCCACTTCAGAGATGGCCAGCCAGGACCACCTTTTGGAGCAAGGGACCAACACACTGCATGGTGGAAACTTGGGGAACAGTGGACCTGAGATGGAGAAGGGCTGGGTTCCAGGCAGTGGTGGCCACAAAGGGTACCTTCTGAGCAGCAGTGTTGAAAGAAAGGAGCCAGATGGAGCTGCTCCCCAGGAGGGAGGTGCCCAATGGGGACCAGGGGCTGACCTGCCTAGAGGGCCCTGGGAGGAAGGAGACAGTATCCCCAGCACCCCAGCATCAGCTCCTCCCTCAGCCCCTGCATGGAGACCAGGGCCTGCCACTTGGTGCCTAGAGCCCAGGTTCGCGGCCCAAGATCCCCCTGACCTCTGGCAGATACCCTATGGGACTGGTGGGGGCCCAGAGTGGAGCGGCAACAGCCTAGGATGCTCCTCCCTTGGGGTGGCTGCTATTGCAGATCTGAACATGGACCAACCAGAGCTGGAAGAGAGAGCCCTGGAGGTGTCCGGGCCAGATGAGCATGCCAACAGCAGGTTGCCTGCCTCTCTTGGAGGGAAGGCCCTAGACAGAGGCCACAAGATGGCTGTGCCTGGCTTCACACCTCTCACTGGGGAGATCTCAGAAGGCAGAGGCGGGGTGGGGTGGGAAGACAAGTTCCCTGACAACATCCCAGTGGGCCCTGCAACCTCCCTGACTTTGGCTTCTAGGAACCAGGAACCTACAATGGGCTCTGGAGATTCTTGCTATCTAGCCCCAGATACAGGTCCAGGCGTCAGTCAGAAACAGGTGGTAGGATTTGACCAAAAGGTTGCTGAGTTAGGCAGCCAGAGTCATGAACAAGACCCTAAGGGGCCCAGTCTGTCCCCCCAAGGCTCTGGTCTGCTGGAATGCACAGAAGCAGTGGATGGCCCTCCTCAGGAGACCCCAGCCTACCAGGGTAGTCCAGACACCCCTGCTGACCCAGGGGCATGGCAACCTGACCATCCTCATTCTGCAGACCAGGCCACCTGGGGGGGCTCCTCACAGGTGGACCTGGACTTCCTGCCAGATAGCGAGATACAGAAAGCCCTGGATGCCTCTGACTTTGAATCCCTACCAGAGCAGGTAAGAGCGTCTCTGAGTTACAGAATGGCCCAGGGCAGGCACTGAATAGCCAAGAGCCCTAACCCTAAAGCACCCAGTGATGGAGGGAAGATGAAGTTCCATTTACACAGCAAATCAGGAGTCTAGGTCGAAGCTCTGGTGGAAAGGGCAGACCTACCTTTCTGCGAGGGGACTGTCTGAGGTTGCTGAGGAGTCCTAGGGTAGTGATACACAGGCAGTTTGTTAGCCAGAGCTCTTCTGCACTTGAACTGGAACTCCCAGGTGTACCAGTCCCTGGCAGCTCTCCTTTCAGCCCTGACACTGACTGCAGGCTCCTGGGGGTGTATTGAGAGTGATAGACCTAGAAGGATGACCCCAATAATCTGGGCTTGGGAAGGGGACTTCACTCCCAAACTGGAAATCAGCCTTTGCCTCTCTAGGGGCACTGGGAGGTCTTGGTATGACTCTTTTTCAAATAGATAAATAATTTTGTTTTTCTGCTGCAATTTATAAGGGCTTTGCTGCCTTCAGGGCTCTACCCACCCTGTAGGTTGCCCAGATGTTGTCTTCTCTGACTGTGGAAATAGTACCAGCTTTTGGCATTCACCTGATGGGTCAGGTGGCTGCCTTGCTTCACCTGTCAGTGCAGGTGGCAACCCCACCCTTGGAGGAAGTGAAACCTTACTGCCATTGGCACACCGGGAGGTGGGCAACTGTCTTTGCAAACTGGGTGTAGCAGCAAAGAATCTGAAAAGAGGCCAGGTACCTGCTGGTGGTGAGACAGGAAGGAGGGGGCTGGGTTAGCACCCAGGTCCACCTGAGGCTAAAGCTGTACTTCAGCTGCCCCATGCTGCCCTGTCCTGGAACACAGAGCCCATTCTGCTTTTACACATCAGCCTCATGTTTCTTTGGCTGTCCCTGTTGAGATGTTAAAATTCATTCAGGCTGTGTGCACTTTGGGAGACTATGGCAGGAAGATTGCTTGCGGTCAGGAGTTCAAGACCAGCCTAAGGAAGAGAGAGACCCTATCTCTTACCAAAAATAGAAAAAACAGGTGGTGGCATGCCCTGTAGTCTCAGCTACTTGGGAGGCTGAGGTGGGAGGATCGTTTGAACACAGGTGTTGCAGCAAGCTATGATAATGCCACTGCACTCTAGCTGGGGCAACACAACAAGACCCTGGTTAAAAACAAACAACAACAAAATAATTCAGCTCAGTGTCCATAGCTCAGTTAGTAGGGCACCAGCCATATATACCAAAGCTGGCAGGTTCAAGCCTGGCCAGGGCCTGTTAAACAACAATGACAACTGCAACCAAAAAATAGCTGAACATTGTGGCAGGTGCCTGTAGTCCCAGCTACTCAGGAGAATGAGGCAAGAGAATCACTTAAGTTCAAGAGTTTGAGGTTGCTATAAGCTGTGATGCCACGGCACTCTACTGAGGGCAACATAGTAGGACTGCCTCAAAACAAACAGCATGGTGCGGAGGTGTCATCCATCAGCTCCACTAGTTATGCAGGCAGTGTGTGTCTTAGCGCGCCAACCACACAAGGCTCATTCTCACCGCTGCTGCTTTAAAAAAAAATTCATTCATGGGGGTGCCTATGGCTCAAAGGAGTGGGGCTGGTGCCCCATATGCCGGAGGTGATGGGTTCAAACCCAGCCTTGGCCAAAAACCGCAAAAAAAAAAAAAATTCATTCACTGTATGTATCTCTCTGCTCTGTGCCGGATGACAGCAGTATGACAGATCAGACACATTCTTAACCCTGTGAGGTTTATTGTAGTCTCATTCCTGCCTGTGTTCTCCAAAGTGAGCATTTTGCACCATATTATCCAGCACTTAAAGAGGCTGAGACAAGAGAATCGCTTGAGCCCAAGAGTTTGAGTTGCTGTAAACTGTGACACCACAGCACTCTACTGAGGGCAACAAAGTGAGACTCTGTCTCAAAAAAAAAAATAAGCCTGGTGTGGTGGTATGCACACCCACTAGCTATTAGTTCCAGCTATTTTTGGATGCTGAAGCAGGAGAATCACTTGAGCCCAAGGGTTTGAAGTTGCAGTGAGCTATAGTGATACCACTGCACTCCAGGCAGAGCAACAGAATAAAGACTATCTTTAAAAAACAAAAAAATCTCGAAAACTTGCAGGAGACTACAGCAGTGTCAGGGCCAGAGAACTTGTCAATGGAACCACTCACCACACAGAGCAGCCCCCGCAGTAAGGTCAGGGCCAAGAGGAAGATACCAGAACCAGCCTGGTACTTCTGTGTCCACTTTCTGATGTGAGAAGGCAAGAGTAGCCCCAGCTGGTGCCCCAGGTGTAGTCATTGTGGAATCCCCACTTCTGGTACAAATGTTTCTTATTTAGGAGTCCCCACTGGCTGGTATGACTTTTGCTTTCCTTCTGCTGGGCTCACCTGGCCAGTCTGTTCACACTTTGTGCTCTGTCTTTCTAGCTGTTTCCTTCGGGGAGCAGGCTGGACCCTTGTTGGCCTGACCCCAGCCCATGTACCAGTGGAGATCCTGTTGAAGTGGCCAAGGCCCAGCCAAGGTAGGTACAGGGTGGTGGGACACAAGCTCAGGACACTCACTCATTTTACTGTGGAAGGTGATGAATCTCCCTAGGCCTTGCTTTCCTTCAGCCAATAAAAGAGATGAGCCCCATCTTTCTTTTTTTTTTTTT